TGTGTTCCCTAGAGGCTTCCCGACGTTTTGCTATGGCTCTCTTAACTTCCTCATCCCACCAACTCTTGGGTTTGTGTCTTCCTTTCCGGGGTGACTTGTCACGTGCCTTAGCAAGCTCTACCTCAAACAGTCCAATTAGATTCGTGTATGTCCACACTGTTTTATTGTCCTCAGTGATTACTTTCTCAATTTGTTTAGTAGCTATTTCTATTTGCCTTTCTGAATGAAACTTTTCCTGTACTTGCTTATCTCGTCTCCTTTCCACTTTTCCTGCTCTTCCAAAACTTAGCTTGATATGTTTGTGATCACTACCCAGACTTCTGGAGCCACCTTCATCTATGTGCATTCCCCTGAGCTTATCATACATCCTATGTGACATCAGTGCATAATCTATCGTCGACTGCAGCCTTCCTACCTCCCATGTTATTTGCCCTTCACACTTCTCGGTACTGTTGCAAATGATCAAATCATGCCTTTCACACATATCCATGATCATTTTGCCGGTTGGGTCAGTATACCCATCTATATCTTCTATGTGCACATTCATATCTCCTAGTATAATTATCTCCTGCTCTCCTCCTAATTCCTCAATGTCTTTTGATATACACTCCACCATTGCCTGGGTTTCCCCTCTAATGTTTCCTCCCATCCACAAGTACACCAAACCAAGGAGTGTCCTTTGCCCTGCCACTTTCCCTTTTAGTCATAAATGTTCCTTGCACTCCTGCTTGACCTTTTTGCCAGTCTGTACTTTTATTAATGAATGCCCCAATACCACCCCCCTTTCTGCTGCCTTCTGTTCTATTGCAATATTCCCACGCGCAGTCCAGACTGTTAGGAGGTTGTTCCATGTCCCTAAGATGTGTTTCTACCAAACCGTATACCATCGGCCTCTCCTCCCTTAGCTGTTCTTCTATCTCTTCCCACTTCAGCCTGTTCCTGCCATCCTGCATGTTGAAATACCCTATGTCTAAATTGGCTCGGCGCTCGTGGCTACGTCTATTTTTGCTTCAGACTCTACCTATCTTAGATACTGGTGCCACTTTGGAATCGTATCTGTCCATACCACCTGTCAAGGAGTCTCCCTGGTTGTTTTCCTCGTTACTAGCTATCCTGCACCCCAAAGGGCTCGTGTGCCCCCCAAAAAAGCTACTGCACGTCCTGCTAGTCGTCAACCCACCTTATGACCTAGCCGCCCATCGAAGTGAATTCTGTCTCGTTGAAAACCACCCCACCTATGCACCTCTCTGTTTATTTCCACCACCTCAAAGGCTTTCCCTCGACTCATCTGCCATATCTCTCGGTTTGCTTTGATAACCGCTCTTTGTATGTTGTCGTCACGCACCGGTACCTCCGGTATCGTGCATATCACTACCTGAACCTGAAGAGAAGTGGTGCGCATGCCATCGACCCCTTTCGCCAGTGTGGTCGCTAGTCCTGCCGTATCTTCTTTTAAGACATCGTTTAAACCGCCTGAAATTATCACAATTTTGTTTATCAGCTATAATTTTGAGTTTTGTGTTCGCTTGCCTCGTGACGGCTTCCAGCTTGCGTCCTGGGAACGTCCCTACTGCAACCCTCTCGTCACCTCTTACCCTCTCTTTGATTGTTTCTGCGCATCGATTTAAATTCGAGTCCCCGGCGATTATCACATGCTGTGACTTTTCAGCTGGAGCGTCCTACACCTGGGGGTTAGTTGCACCTGTGAAGCCGGCTGCTTTGTCCCTTCCCAGCCCCACCACTACTTCGCTGAAGCTGGGCCTTGTGACAACTGAACCGGCTGAACCTGTTTTTTCCAAACTTGCTTGCTCTTTCTTCTCCGCCATTCTGGTTGCCAGTGCCCTACTGATCGGGAGCCAATATTCCAAATAAATATTGCAGTTAAATTTAAAGTGCAGTAAAATTTATCGGCGGCATAGTACTTTTCTGCTTCGTGCCACAGTGCCCTACATATGCAAAGGAGCCATAAGCGATATTTCACGTTCACTCCTACCCTGCTTTGCAAGATCTTGATGCCACTCTCATCCATTTTTTGTTGTTGTTGTTGTGGCTGTTGTGGTTGTTCAGCTCACAAGGTTCCTTGCTTGTTGATTACGTCTGAAAAATGGGCCCATAGCCACCGGCACTTGTTTTCTCTATGATATTTTCAGCGACAGGGGAAAATGTGGTCAGTTTCACGAACTAATTTACATTCTAACCGTAGGCACGAAATGCCGTACTTCTTGACAATGAAGCTGCAAACGCTGGACGCTGGCATTATTACCAAAACATAAAATTGCCATTTACATCACAGCAAGCCTCTCCTTGCAACATACTCATTCATCAGCGCTAATACGGACGGCTGGCACACAGTGCATTTGCTGTTGTGACCGAGCCCAGTCGGGATCATATTACTATAATTTTAGGTCGCGATTGAGCCCTTTCTAAAAGCTGCAGAACTGAGTCACTCATCTAAAATTTTCCTTCTTGTGCAGCTTGGCTCGATCGCAACAGAAACTGCCTCATGTGACAACCGTAGAAAATTTGTACAATAAGGGGCAACAGATAATAATTAAGATCATGCCATAAAGAAACTTGTACTTATGTCGAATGTGGCCTAGCTACAACTCTGAATAAAGCACACTTGTGCATGTGACTTGCATTTGTCTCCAATTCTATCAGAAAGGTTGCACCTGCATGCAGCTCTAAGCATGCTGGGTGGCATCCCACAAAGTGGAGAATCCACTTGCATTGTGCTTCATGGGACCATTTGTGCTTAACAGGTATGTAAATTTGCGCATGCTTGTCATGCCAAACACGGCTCATTTTCAGATAGATGCAAACATGCACTGAATCAAGTACTGTGGTTGTAGACAATTCTTGCAGCAAAAATATGTTCCTTTCCCGCAAGTAGGCGTTAATGCCAATTTGATACTTCAGTTGTCTTTTATAAATGGATCACTACCTTTTACAAAAGTAGTGCGCGCGTCCCCCGTGGCTTCCGTATGGGTTGCCATAGCAGACGATGCCGGCACTCGGGCAATGTGAGGAGCAAAGATATTTTTCGGAGCATTTATTTAGTAACGTAACATTTTGGGCGTGTTGGTATGTGGCATTGTTTTATATCGCACGGAAAAACACGGTCAAAGAAAGACACGCCATACAATCAGTGAAGAAGCCGCATCAGCATTTTACTGATTTCACCAAAGTGAAGTACCACTAGCATAATAAATAAAAATTGGCCCCGTATCTGCATTTAATCTGCAAATGTCATCGAAAGACGATAGTCTTGCGTGTGGATAGAGTGAACAAAACATTTATTTGATGTTCTGCTCAAGAAAATCAGTGAATGGTATTCTGGAGGCACTGCATTAGAGTGCCTCGAGCTTGCAGCAGAGGCGAACGAGCCCATCAAGTTACATCACACGTGAGACGTGACCGCCATCTGGCAGTTTTTTTCAAAAACAAAGCGCGTGGCTCTGAGACGGGTGTGCGCACCCACCTCAGAGGCGATAAGGTGTAGAATGCAAGGCGACGGGTAGGTGCCACCACCGTCTCGTTTTAGCAAAGTGTTGGAAACACTCGCCTTTCCGTGCAAGCGTTGGATGGTCAGCACAGCATGATGAGCTTTACGGTCCTTAAAATTACTTATGTATGCCTTTTCTAGTAAAAAGGCGCACATGCAGAATATATATGTATTGTTATGGTGCCCCAAACATGCGCAATAATTGCTTTTTAATCGACAATTGCACAAGTATGAGCGCTGAATCTCGAGCAACATAGGTGGGTGCTGCGGATGGGGTCGGCCGTTTCAAATACCCGATGCTGTTAAAAGTGGACAAACAGACAAATGTACAGACAGACAGACCAATATTTTTTTGTCGAAGATCCCCAAGAAAGACTACCGTCTTTAAAAAGGTGATGCGAAAGCTGCTACAGGCTGTGCAGGAGAGGGCGGGCCGAACTATCCAACCTTGCACGTCACAGGAATGCCTCCACATGGTGGCGCCACAGTATGTCCTCACCCCCAGTATGAACCACTGACTAGTTAAATGCATCCATCCATTTTGAAATGATATCAGCGCCAGTTAGAGCCTTTTAATGGCAAAGCTTAGCACTGCGAGTGCATGTGAATCATGTAAAATTCTCAACTTCATTTCACAGGTGCTCATTGGGAGCCACTTGCGAAAACAAGCAACTGAACCTGTCAAGCAAGTAAACATGGTCAGAACACCTTCATTCTCCAGCTGACCATTACTCCTTTCACACTGGTAGGTCCTGGAGAGTTGAGCGTGAGTGAACAGTAATTGGGGTTTAACATCCCAAAAGCACGATACGATTTTGAGGAATGCCATAGTGAAGGGCTCTGCAAATTTCAGCCACCTAAGGTTCTTTGACATCACATCAAATATGTACATGGGCCTAAAACATTGTGACCTCCATTAAAAATGCAGCTACCACTGAACTTGAGTTATGGCACAAGGCATACTTGTGCAATGACAATTGAAAATACTATGACACAAGGGACAGGAACTAAATAGAAAAAAACAAGCACTCTCAGTGCAGCACAACGCAAGCTGAAGAAATCAACATGTTTTTAAAAGAAATGAGAACTATTAAAATGCTCAAGATTGTTTAGAAATTTTGTTTTCTCAGGATGTTGACGATTTTAAGGTTAATAAATGGCAAAATGGGTGCATTTGCATTAGTTCCTTACACAACAAGAAATCGCCAAACAATGTTAGATGCGAAGCAGCTCTTTGGCTAGCCTGTTTAATGCCATGCATCCATCTGTGACTCTGTGCCAACGCGCCACACCGTGTTCCCCCTGCTGCAGTTGTTGGAACGATGCCAAGTAGGGCAAGTCGCAGCTATGCTTTGACGTTACTCTCTCCGTCACCCGCAGTAGCTTCCGGCTCCTGCCAACACACCTAGGTGGTGTTGCTCCTCCGCCCGCTCGCAACACACTTCTCTCTTGCTTCACCCGCTCCACCACCCGCAACGCTCAACCGCACATTGAGTGGAAGCACTCTTTCAGCTTGTTTATCTGCGATGAAACTTACACGAAACACAACCCCCATCCCGTGTATTTGCGATTCAAAGAAACATTTACTTGAGTAAACGCTACACAGAGTTTCTCTTCAAACCGTTCTACCAGCACCCGCGTCGACTCCCGTTTCAGCCAGGTCAACCACGTGCGCACCGCTGCTGCTTCGCATCCCATCATGGTTCCCTTTGGGGAGATGGTCCATAATTCTTTGGGGGGGGGGGGGGGGGGGAATAGGAGGGGAGAGAATCTTGTCAAAGCACAATATTCACATATTGCTAAAGATAGCATGAGGGGCTTTACTCAGCGCATCCCCCAAAGTATATTTCTGGAAGTAACAAGCAAAACATTCAAGACGTCATGCGAATTAAAAAATCATGATGCACCATCTCGTCATTCCTTCAGAATTTTTGGAGCCTATTGACAGCATGGTGAACAAATGCTGCACACACAAACATTCCCGATCAGCATTTGAAGATTTAGGATAGTTCAGAATGGATACTTTTAGCCAACCATTGAAAACAAAGGAGTATGGATAAACTCATGTGCCTAAATAAAAAAATGTCCTTACCTACCACTCCATGCACAGTGAGAGACATAACAAGAACTCCTTCTCACATGCACCCAAAGAAAATTTGCAATGCCGGACAGGTGCCATAGAAAGTCGAGCATATAACAAAATGTTTGTTTGCTAACCCCCTAAGCTTACTGTGAACTTCATGCACTGCCATACACAACTGACAAGTATGCCATGCAATGATCATCATAATTTATAACATGTTTACATTTATTTGAGTGTCTTGAAGAGATATATCCTTGTCACAATAATACTACTGATCCATCCTTTATAAGGGAGGCAATGGCACGGTAGCGCATTATGTGTCGAGATCCTTCATCAAGATCAATGACTTCACCATCTCTGAAATGAAAAATAACTTGATTTTCCAGAATGCAAGTACAATCGAAACATCAGGGGTGAGGCAGCTGAAACATCATCGGGAGCTATTTTTTGTCGCAGAAGAACCTAGATCTGAAGCAGTTAACGAAATTTAATGGATAATTTTTACAGTGAAAAGGAAAAAAGAATATTGTAGCAACTTGGGGGGGACATACTTTTACTGGCTTGAAATATGCACAACACTTAAACAACCTATGGAGAACGTTTTTCAACATACTATCAGAAGGTATGGACTGCACCACCTTCTTACAAACCATGAGGTTGACCTGACCTAAGTGACAACAGAGTTTTGAGGGTTTTTTTTTGAAATACAGGCTACATGCTGATACAACAGCAAGAGCACTAGGGAAAGCAAACAAAACTTGCACTTTTTGCAGTGCATTTCAAGAGAGCACAACAGTTATAGCATATTTCAATGAGGACCAAAAAAAAAATCGAGAGAGGAATGGAATGATGCTCGAAATGATAAATGGAGCTTCATCAACAGAGAACAAGCAAAGAGGGCAGAACTAGTGTTCAACATTTTCTGTCTGCAATCCTCCCATGCTGGCAGCCTACAATACAAACACAAGCATATGTGTGGCTGCAGTAATAAAAATAATGTAAAAAGAATATCAAGTAAGCAGATGCCTGAACAGTCTCAGTACAAACCAGAGCTGTGGTTTTCAAGTACAATTGAGGATAAGGGATGCAGGCAATGCCTTTGAATAAATTTTCAAGGTTTTTTTAAATCTTTTGTACTATAATAGAATACACCTTTGGAAGGCAGGAGAGGCTCCTGCTCTAATGACAGATGCACGGCAGCAGATAGCCTCCACAACCAAAGAAATAGTCCTGCTCATTTACTTGGTGATGTTCTCCCATGGAAGGGTCACAGACCAAGTGCCTTATGATGACAGTCTAAAGCGCAAATTTTGATGCAGGCTTGTGTGCATTTGCCTTTGAAATGGAAATGACAGTGCCTTATAAAGTTGTACATAATCATACCTGTGTTCTGAGGAGATACATTCAGCTTCTCACAATCTTCAACGTTTTGTTCTTCTAAAATTGTTTTTACTGCTATAATGGAAGCTGCAAATGTGCCTCAATGTAGGCAATTTCTTTGGAAACAAAATTCTTGCCATTTATTTTCTTTTTTGTTAGAGTGCAAAAAAGTAAAATTTTATGATCAAATAAAATAAAAATACTAGTTAGAAAATAAAAGAAAGACTGTGAATATAAAATTAATATAAAAAATTTTCATGAATTTTGTAATTATAAAGTGACCATAAACATGAAGCTTGCACACAGGCCGTTGAGAAATTGAGCTTTATATATACTGACAAATTCATATATAACACCATTTAATTTGATTACCAAGTGACTGCGATTAATGAGTTAAAAAATTGCTTTTGATTATCTACAGAAACATGGCGAAGACATGAGAAGTGATCTACATACAACGCTGTGTTCACTGATCGAGAGAAGTGCGACACTAAAGCAGCGCACATTGTTTTCAAGTGGTGCAAACATGGTGTGAATGGTAAAACAAAAAAATCACAGCGAATCCATATATAGCCTACTCAGCTACAAGCAAAGACATTCTTTAAACAACTGGAAATCGTAAAGCTGCAGGTATAGCAGCTGCTGCTGCAGAGAACTGTCATTCAGAACACCTCTCATGTATATTGTTCTCTTTGGGCTACAATAGTGCAGTTATTCTAATATATATGATACTACAAACAAATATTCAACAACTCTGAGTAGTGAATTTTCCACGGGAACATAACTATGACACAAGCTACGCACGGGATTCATATTTGAGATTTTTAATATTATTCACACCACCCTACATTTTTATTCCTTACTTGAGCCCTTGTGTCACCTACAATCAGCTTTAGACACGCAATCTGAGTGCTCATTTATGATTCGAGAGTCCAAATGTTCATGTGTTGGCATTGATTGTTTACACCAATTAGTGTCAGGTCAGTGACTGTTTGCACACATTTCATTAACATGCTAAAATGTATGAGCCTAAAATTGCCATCTTTAGCTTGTCCTCCTTCACATAATTGCTTGTCACTGCATCTCTGTCGCAAAGAACAGTGACACTAGAAATATCTGAAACACTGGGCACTGATATTTAAGGAAACATAAATCTGACTGCCAAATTCTGAGTTAATAGCGCTTCCTTGAATATTATGACTTGGGTAAATAAAAAAACATTCATTAATAATGCAGCTACAGCAGTAAAGTATCAACAGTGAAGAAAATTTACTGATGTACATTAAGATGCACTAACCTGCTTTGTGACGTTCCTTCGTCAACTAGAACACCCATTGTTTGCCTTTTCACCTTGACAAAGACAAACTCATCCAAGTCAGGGCCTCTATCTGTGCCGCAAATGAAGTGAATCACAGTTGAAAGGCCTCTCACGGAGCAAAATGCCAGAGACGTAATACCATACACAGAAAAACAAGAAAACCGGTCTGCTGGTATGAAATTATTGTTTCTTTTCTGGCCACAGTTAGCCAGAACTACATGAAGACTGTCTTCTCTACCTTGGTATGCATATTCAACATTACTCTCTTCAGAATAGCCTCACTCACACATTCCATGGGAGTGAAACAAAGTTCAAGATCTCAAAGATGTCAAACAAGTCACATGACATAAATTCATCTGTATTTTATACTGGCCAATCTCACTTCTTGTCCCTCAATGTGAATCTACTAATGAAAGCTATGCAAGTCAAAAACTTTATGACAGTTAGACCTAACATGTATATGAAAATCGATTCAAGGCAACCACACAAAACGGTTCTCACATTATCTAAACCTTTGGAGAAAACAGCAGTAGCATTATTGGAAATATTTTACAACAGGTTGCATAGTTTTTGCAGGCAGGTCCAAAAGTAATGACTACTGTAAAGTGTCACATGATGCTGAAGGTATCTTTGGTACGATAAGTCTGTTTAAAGTGCACTACAAAGTGTGTAATTATATCCATAAAAACTTGTCAGAATTTTGCAATTGTATTTTTGCGAACAAATAGAATGTGTGGGAATAGCATGCACCACTATACGATATCGACACGTGCTGCGCAGTGGGTGTGCACACAGCCCACATATGGGCTACTAAATTGGCAGCAGACGCGCTGAGGGCAGACTTGGCAACAAACTGGCAGGGAGTGCACGTGTGTGCAGTGTGCACCCACACGGCGATGGATCAGTATGTATGTGGGTGGTGACAGAGATGCTGGTTGAATCATGTGCTTAAGCGTTTCAAGTTTGCCATACTAATAAACGTTATTTCTGAATAGGACACCAGCGGCTGCCTCCCATTCTAAGCCTGATGGCCTGTATCCCACAAGTGGTGCCCAAAATGGTTAATGCCACTTTTGGGGTTCTAACCTTCTGGTCAACGGCAGAATGCAGCACAGCCCCAAAACTCGGAAGACATTCATTAGTAGAAAAAACAATTAGCACTTAAACTTGCAACTCAAGGTCCTCACGGCCACCACCATTGCCATCCAGCGTTCAGCACTCACCCCACCGGCTGTCCAACACATGCACGCACACCCCCCCGTCAGTCTGTCACAAACTCCTTGCACATCGTGTCGGCTGGTGCTTTTGTAGGACATCTGTGGGTCGTACGCACCCCTACTGCGCAGCACGTGTAGCGGTTATCGGGTGGCGATGCATAAGATTCCCATAGCTTTTATCACATTGGGCACTAAAACAGACGAGATGATGGGCTAACAGCTTAGCTTTCGCACCAGAGATGTAGCATTCCATGCATTCACATTCAATTAATTATGTGAAAAGCACGGCAAACATAATATGTTTCTGGTGAAGGCATTAGCTTCATACTTGAGGGGCCTATTCATAAAGCATGTTAGAATTTGCCTTCTGCAAGATACACAAACAAAAATGACTGTTCAAATTTGATAGCTTCAGGTACAAATGTTCAGGTTTTTTTTCTTTATTTTTTAAATTAAAATGTGCCAAACACTGAAACACTAGACCTTCTGTTATAAAACAAAACTTTCTAGAATAATTTCCATCTACCATACAGTAACATGAAGGTATAAAAGAAACAAACAAGTCTTCTTCAATATAAAAAAAAATTGCATGCTTACGGTATATTCATTAAATTACTGTATTTAATGTTCCAATGTTCCACTGTGGGTTATCAGAGATGCCATAGTGGAAGGTAAAGGTTAATTTGGTGATCTGAGTTTTTAATGTATACTTAAAGCACAGTATAGACCATTTTCATATTCTGCCAGCAGAGGAATGTAAGCTGCAGCCCAGAATCATACCTGCAGCCTAGTGTTCAGCAGTAGAATGCCATGGTCATCACAACAAGGGTTGATTGATTGATTTGTGGGGTTTAACGTCCCAAAACCACCATATGATTATGAGAGACGCCATAGTGGAGGGCTCAGGAAATTTCTACAACCTGGGATTCTTTAACGTGCACCCAAATCTGAGCACACGGGCCTACAACATTTCCGTCTCCATCAGAAATGCAGCCGCCGCAGCCGGGATTCGATCCCGCGACCTGCGAATCAGCAGCCGAGTACCTTAGCCACTAGACAACCGCGGCGGGGCCATCGCAACAAGGGCACATACATATGTATCATAATAGGAAACACCTCAAGAGATTACCGTATTTATTTCAATCTAGGCCAATAATTCTTTTTTAAAAATTTCTTTGAATCAAACTACAGGGTTGGCTTAGATTCAAGGATTTTGAAAAACAAGCCATTTTTCACTAAAAAACTTGGCTCACAACTAGCGCCACCTAGACGATATTATTGCTGTCAATAGCGAAGCCAACAGCTGGCTTAAGGGGAACTCCGGCGTTTCTTCGATATTTACCGATTTCAATAAAACTTTGAACATGTGTTCTCATCGGCGCCATGGGGATATGTGTCAAATTATACAACCGTAAGTCATTTAGTCTCTTAGAAAACAAGTTTTCAAGTTTGTAGGTGATTTTGGAATCAGACTTGTAAATGTAGACCACCCTGTGTATGTGACGTAAAGGCGTACTCATCTTCAAGAACCCCACCTTTCCCAGCAGACAGATGCAGCGCGCGCTTTCTTCTATGAGGCAACAACAATGCGAGAACAGGTTCAGTTTTTGTCAGCTGCATACAGCGTGTTAGTCGTCGTTCACGTCGGGTCTTACAATATTGAGAAACGAGGAAATCGATTTGAGGTATGTCAGATGCTTCACACGCCGATGGATGAAAAGCAAAGTGATGCTTCTGCGCTCAGACAGCAGCTGCAATCATCAATCAACTTGTCAGTAATAAGTCCAGGCGAACTATCACAGCTTGCTTCTGTGTCGAATGACATCACCGACTTGCTTTTCACATTATGTTTACATTCTGGCCTGCCGTGGCTGGGTGTAGCGGATCTCGTAACGCCATTCGATACCTAGCATGGACGACCGAGCAGCTCCCAGTTTCGGTTTTCATTTCGATTAGCCGTTTATTGCCAAATTAAAATTTTTGACAAGTGCCAGGCCAAAATGCCCCCGACGCATGCTTTTACAAGACTGTCAATACAATTTGAAAACAGCATTATCTCACTATGGTTGAAAATGCACCGGAGTTCCCCTTTAAAAAAGCCCTGAAACACAATTAGAGCATGCATTTTTCATTGGTTCTTCTGGTGCTGTGGAATGCACCGATAACATTGCACAAGTGGCAATGTCGAAATCAAAGCTGTTATAATTTCAATTCACAGGACAAACTACCCGGATTTCGCACTATGGTGACACACATCAGCTATTTTTGTTATGGTAAGTGATTTTATATAAAGTTCTGTGACGACAAAGACCGTTCGCTATTGATTGGCTTGACGCGACAAGTAGCGTGCAGTATTCATATAGGGGGGCCTGCGGCCTTGTCAAGCTGGCATCACGCCAGCTTTTTCTGCAGGTCTCCTGCATCATGTATCCTTGATGTGAAATAAAGTCATTATTATTAGTATTATATGGTGGTAGCTAGGTCATACCAGTGAATACTAAAAACAGCAAAAACACTTTTTATACTTTCTCAGAAAGAAATCATTTCTGTTTATAAATGATGTATTTTCAGAACAATGAACACCACACTTAGTCTGCAAACGAGGCTATGGTGCGCTAACAACTAAAGCTGTTAACACATGCCGCGTTTTTAGCGAGCCAAAAATGCGACATGCGGTGGACACCGGCATTGCTGTCGAACGCGTTTTGCATGCAAGCTGAGAAGTGATCATGCCCAAAGCGTATGTATGTATCTTATACAGTGTGGCCATGGGAGCATCTGCTACCCGACGTACGTGGTTCGTAGTAACGCTGCTAACAACACCGTCAAAAAGAGGGGTAGAGGGTATTGTGTGAAGGCCACCACGAGGTGACATTTCCTGTATGTCTTTACGTGACGTGCGCTGTGATAGGAAGCAGTCTTTGACGTCAGCAGGTGAGTGAAATGCGAAAGAGAACTTTTCTCGTCGTCTGCTCAAATTATGAACTTTGATGTCTCATAACTTTACTTTTCGTGCACTGCTTTCCATCCTTGTTGTTGCATTCGTCTCAGCAATCATTGCTACATGCGTTCCGGTGCTAAATAAACCTGTCGCAAAAGTGTTGCAGGGCCCCTATTAGTACACAGTGAGGCCACCATTCTGATCTTCGTGGCGAGTGTTGAGGCGAGCCGTTTGTCATTTCGATTGATTGATTGATTTATTTGTAGGGTTTAACGTCCCAAAACCAGTTTGCCATTTCGAGTCGTCGCACTTCAAGTGGTATGTGTGTGGCGTAGTTCAATGGAGGCAAACAGGCGGTGCCATTATAGTGCCACTTATTAAAGTAAGTTCGCCCTAGCCGCAGGGTCGTCCAACGCTCAAGCCAGGAAGGACTCCGTAGTGGACGAAAAGAATGTGCATTGCTGGAGGGGTTGCAGCGTGGGATGTCAACTCGTGAACTTTGTGCACTTTTTTTAAGAAGTGCGGCATATCCAATGCGCTTGATGGCACCAAGGATTACGCAATGTTTGAAGACAGTGGCGACGACTCGGAATGAGCGCGGCATCTTTATTATGCAAATAACTAGAAGCAGCGCGAAAAAGAAGATTACAAAGAAACACACACAACAGGACTAGCGGCGGTATGTTTCTTGAGTTATTTGCATCATGAACCGTCTGCTTTGTTTCTTCTGCATGCTCAATTATGTTTTCTCTTTGTGAACGCTGTCTTAGCTGTTTTGTTCAGCTTACATTCGAGGTAAGTTTCTGGGCTTCAGAATTTGGGGGGTCAGCTTCGAATCGGGGTCGGCCTAGATTCGAGTAAATACGTAGTAGCGCATTTTAAATATTGTGGTTACAAGAAGATATTAATTATGACCAAATGCAAGATGTATATGTAACACATATGCAGTAAAATCTGAGAAGGCTGGAGAAAAAAAAAAGATGATCTAAGCTACTGTAAATGTAGTACTCATTTTATGTCAGTGAAACTGCACCTCACCTACAGATGCCATGTTGAAGTCTTGTTGATTGAAGGGCATATGAACCAAGGCAACATCCCGTAGGTAGTCCTCAATGCTAGCAATGTACCTGAATATGAATAAGCGAGTATTTCAGCCATGCTTAAACCATGAACCTTGCACTAGTGAAGGAATTATCTGGTTTCTTAAGGAATTCTGAAACCCTCACACCCCTAATCAAGTAGTAGTAATCTGACTCATTTGAGAAACAGCGGCAACTGTTTTTTGGACATAACCAATTCAACATTTCCAGCAACCTCACTGTATTACTGACGTGTACGTTGTGGGGGTGATAACAGCCACCAAGTCGGCAATGGAAGAGGAAACGATAATGGCTTGGGTGACACACTCAGCACTCGCCTCGCCAATTAAGACAGAACAGACTGGTCTCGGTCTTCGAGAAGCAAAAGCATTTTTTCTGTGTCCCTTGTGAGGTCTCCCGCCGACCCCTGGCCTTGAGCCTACATTTAGTGGCTTACTTGATTTTTCAGACTATGTAAGGTTGCTTCAGACTGTGTAAAGAACTAACATATGTAGTAGTTCAAAAATAGTAGTAGATTAGCAAATAAATTATCACAGATGTCAGAGAAATGCCACATCAATTATATAAATGCTATTGCAATATATGCTCTAGACCATTCTGACAAGGTTACATTTATCAGGGCAAGCTAACTGACATTCAAAAGTCCACTGGCCAAAACACCCACAGAGTAAGAAAAAAAGAAAAGCAATAAGTCACATGCTGTCCTTAGCTCGAGATAGGTGGACTGTTCTATATGCGGAGCATTTCTAAGTCGCACAATGTTGCGCTTCGGCGGCAACACTGTCCACATGCCCACTGCGCATGCTCGCGTCTCATGCCGGCCCAGAAAGACACTCGCAAAACAGTCACTCCCCTTCCCCTCTCTCGCCTCGCAAGGACGACACAGGCAGCGTCAGCTAGAAAAAAAACTACTGCTCGTGCTGCACAACCATTCACTGGCCACCCCGTATATGCAGGCGCCGGATCGCACGTTCAGAATTCAGTCAAGGGCGTCCTGGCTTACGCTGGACATTGAAGACAACACTTCTCCTCCATTCAATAAATAAGAATAAAGACGAAATAACATTTAAGTATTCCCAAACCACACCTAATTACACAACATTCACGCAACACCCCCACTACTCTGCGAGGCATTTGCTTGAGTTCCCCCCATGAGAAGATGCAGGCTGCATTTTTTTAGAGCATGAATTCCTGGTTCCATATAGCTTTCTCAGTCATTGATCAAATAACAACAATACAAAGAGCCCTTGTATTCAGACCATATTTCAATGAACAGCTACAACATATCTGGGTAGAGACAGATTTGCATTTCTGTTCTGCCTGCCTGAAAGAGTGCAGTGGAGCGGTAGCGAAAAATCTTTTAGCTTATGAATAATGAACTTTGGGAGCCATTGGTGTGCATATAAGCTCTTATTATCGCATAACTTCTGCAAAGCATGCCTATCACAACATTACCTTGCTGTAGTTCATCACCAAAACTCGGAGCACTTATATATAATTTTGGTAGCTTCTCCCATTACTGGTTCAATGCAAGGAGTCAAAAACAGAGCATGTACTAACATTGCATACGTGATCATTTTGTTCAGCGACATGTAAGTGTAACCATTTTCAAAATGCATAGCATGATTAATTGATCATGCAAGGAGTTTCCTTTGGTGGATGGGAGTTATCAACTTTAAATCTTTACTATGGCACAATGGCAGCATTAAAATGAAGCACCAATGTTTTTTCTTTTTTCAGAATTTATATCAGGAAGATGAAAAGCACAAAAATTGATGAACATTTGCATGCAGTTCTATGGAAGCCACTTGTGCAAATAGCAAAGCTACTATCACCACTGTCTACAGCACTTGAGCAGAGCTGTGCAATTGAGCAGAGAGTGATGTTTGAGAGTATCCACATGGCTTAAAGGGCACAAAAAAAACTATTTTTCTATGAACAGTTAATTACTGTTTTACTATTCGAAATCGTTCACCGCAATAAGGCGCTCGGTAAGTGAGAAAATAAGCAAAAATAAAATGCAGGTGGCCACACCACCTTTAAAATCACACAGAAGATGTCACAACGTCATGAATTCTGGCAGCATCTACGGGGGCCTACATAGTTTCTAAGCAGCAAAAATGAAGTGCATTGATTTCTGAAAGAGTCATAGACAGATGGGAGCACAACAAGATTTAGAAAATTTCGTTTAGCCAATGTCCAAAAAATGCAGCTAATACAGTTTGAAATCAGTAACATCACATGCTGATATTTTGATGCAAAATTTGAAAATGGAACTTTGACCTTGACTTTTGCCTCCATTACTAAACTTATGGTGGAGAAATTCATTAGAGATCTCAGAGTATATGCTATCAGTCTAAACTGATTTACACTTCAGGGGTTCATTAATGTTTAGCAGAACACTACAGCCATATCCCCATCTAGCTAAGGCAAGTCATGTACTTTTAAAGCAAACAGCAGATGAGACTGCACATGCATCAGGGTGCCCTACTTCAGCTGAAGGTGCATTCATACTGAAGGTTTCTATTTAAAATTTGCTGTAAAACAATTACATGGCTTGAAACAAAGCGAAATGTTTAGAAAGAGTGGGTACAGAAACAAACCTACGCTCGTGCAAATTTTCTTTCATACGGAGATAGCAACTCATCTGAATCAACTGTTTCAAGTTGTCGAAGGATGTATGCACCGTGCTTTTCTATCTTTGTGAGCCGTGTTCTAAGGTAGCTCGTAAGGATGTATTGAATCCGTTCAATCTGCAATATAAGTAAATATGGTTAGTTGGTTGGTGGGGCAACAGGTGTTTCATATTTATAAGCCCACAACTATTCTTCCCTATTTAGTGTTAGGCAAGAGCGATACTTTGAAGAATAAAACATTTATTCCGACAATACAAGCAAATTGTAGGAAAGCGCTACATGTAAAATATGATCAATGAAACACATGGAAGGGAACCACCGCGGAAAATAAGTGTAGATAACATGTCTATGAGCCCTTGACGCGCGATACGTCATACGACTACACAGCAAACATAACAGCAGGTATCCCACTCTCAGCTCCCCAAACAGTGAAGGTGAACTTAGAGCACACGAAAGCTCGAGTTAAGTCATTGGTTGTTACAAAGGGTGCACTCACGGTAACCCACCACCTCCTAAAGACTACCTTAGTTCCTACTCTGTTGTGCACGGGTTCATGAAATTCGCAAAGAACGCGCAGTCGCTCTAAGCAGTTTACTCACTTCCAGCTTGTGCATCGTGGCTATGAAGTCGGCGTTGTCAATTCTTTGTAGGTTTTCTTGCATGTACTTGAGCTGGTCGAGAACGCAGTCAACGATATCATTTTGGTAGGGCAATAATTCGGGAGCAAAAGTCTCATTCATCCAAGCCTGGAAAACAAAAAAAAAGTTACAGTGCTGCGGCTCAGGTTCCGTTGGCGATGAAGAGCGGGATACAGCTAGGAAACCAGAGTCAAAAAGCTCGCACCTCTTCAAGCTTTTGTACGACTTGCTCCGCCGATGTGCACTCTTCTTCGAGGTTTTCTCCATAGCCATACTTATTCGCTATATCCACAACATCCGGCTCACTATCCATTGATCCAAATCAAGTGAATAAACGCAACTTTTCGCAACTGCAACTTTTCGCGCGAACCGCCAAGAGTGCGCACCGTGAGCGCCTTCAGCTTGGCCAGCGCCTCCTCTAATTTTTGTGCCTGTTGCGTCGCGCCCGTTCCTATTGCTCTACGATTAGCGCTTTATTTCTCAGAGTGACCGCGTGATGGCGTCAAATTATTACCCTCTCGCGTGGTCTCTCGTTGCTTGACTTCTATGGATGGATGCGGTAGGGTGGTTAGAATGAGGAGGTGTGATGAGCACGGCGCTTTTTGCTCGCCGGAGAATAGTGCCGGAGAATTGCCGGAGAATAATATAGTGCTAATGGCCGACAACAAGAAAGATTTGCAGAGATTGGTGGACATCTGCGGTAATTAGGGAGATAGGTTAGATTTCAGATTCAGTAAGAAAAATCAGCAGTCATGATTTTTAATGACAATGAAGGTAGTGAGTTTAGAATACAGGAGGTCACGCTAGAGATAACAGATAAATACAAATATCTGGGCGTATGGATAAGCAATAGGGCCGAGTACGAAAGGGAACAAGAAATATACGTGACGACTAAAGGTAACACGAATGCAGCGGTGATGAAAAACAGGGTACTGTGGAATTACAATAGGTATGATGTTGTGAGAGGAATATAGAGAGGGGTCATGGTTCCTGGTCTGAAGTTCGGCAATGCGGTCTTGTGCATGCGATCAGAAGTTCAAGCAAGGCTAAAAATTAAGCAACGTAGGCTTGCCTTAGGAGCTCACGGGAATAGACCAAAAGGGGAGTACAAGGTGATATGGGATGGACATCATTTGAGGGCAGAGAAGCTATGCAGCAAGATAAAATTTGAGAAGCGATTGAGAGAAATGGGGGAGGAGCGTTAGGCTAGGAAGGTATTCAGATACTTGTACATGAAGAATGTCGATACGAAATGGAGGAAGCGAACCAGAAAATTGACTGGTAAATACTTAGAAAACAGCAGGGGGCTAAACCAAAAATAATTATTGGTTAAGAAGAAGGTGAAGGAAACTGAGACCGATATGTGGAGATTGGCATGATTAAGAAGTCCGCACTAGAGATATATCGAACTTTGAAGCAGGAAATTGCCAAGGAAAGGATCTAATACTCGGGGTAGTTCTCTACTGTTTGAGGCCAGGACGGGAGTACTGCGAACCAAGACATATCGGGCCAATTACGAAGGGGTAGACACGGTATGCAGTGCGTGTGGAGAGGAAGAAGAAACCGCCGAACACTTTATAATGTTCTGTAAAAAGGATTCACCCTATAGTTCAGGATGATGGCGCAGAGTTTTTCAAAGCACTGGGGTTTAGGGACAGGGACGGCAAAATAGACTTTAAGTGGGTAGAATTAACTAGAAGGAGGTTATCTGATTGGTGGCTTAAGTTAAGGCACGAGTGAAAATTAAACCCTTCACTGCAAAGCACGAATCCTCAACCTCACTATTTAAGAGGAAAAAAAAAATCTAGTTTTTGGTTCATTAAGTATTACGGCTTGGTGGTGCTAGCCACTGCCCGATCTAAAGGGTACAGCCATATTTATCCATTTATCCAGCAGGCCCTTCGGCGCGCCGATGCCGCTAGGGGCACTGATGGCAGCGGCGGGGGTAAAAAAATTATGGAGGGACCTTCCTCCGTGTGGAAACTGGAGGAACCTTACGGCGGGGGTAGTTACTAGTGAGTGACTCGGGAGCGGCGCACCAAAGTCCGGAAACTCTCAAGCTCAAGGGCTCACCCGTAGAGGGCGAAAAAATCAACCACGGCGCGTTTTTGCTTCAAACACACGGAGTGGATTTACTAACCTCTCTCGCCACTCGCGCTATTGCACTTTCTTGTAGAGGCGCCCTCATCGGGACCAAGCTTTGTTTTAAAATGATCAAATACTACATCTTTGTGTACCACTACACATAAAAACAACTTGTTCTTCTAGCAAGTAGTTTTATTAAACGTAAGCTGCGTCATCATTTTTTGTGGTAGTTTTTGCTCCACCAGACTTGAAGTCAGCAGCAGCCTATTGACATAATTATTCTCATTTCAAAGTTTGCGGCGGCCAACGGTTGCGACGGCAAGTAACGGCTCGCGGTACGTTTGGATGTATCTCGGACTGTTTCGTTTCGCTGTAAATATTTCGAGCTTCTGTCGAGCGACACACTCTTTTTCGTTCTGTTTATTTTGTCTCGTTCGAATGCTTTTGTGAAGGGAATTCGAGTGACTTCCGGGAACGAAGCGACCGTTGAAGCTTTCATCGGATGAACACCCGTTGAAAGCCCGGGCCGGTGAGTAGAAACCACTTCACTTTTTAAAGAACGGTTGCTTGCAGGGCTAGTTGGTTCATTTCAACATATGTAGTTTTTTTTGCCAATGACTGCGTAGGCGTCGCACGGTGGCAGCGCATTGCAATAATAAATTTTAAAACTGTTTAACGTCTTAATCTGTTACCGGAAAAACGTGCGTTATTTGCGGCGCGGCTTCACGTGCGAACGAGTCGCTGACTCAATAGTTAATTCTGAAATTCTATCACCAGGTAACACCAACCAGGTCGTTGCGATGAAAGAAGGCAAATAAACTAAATCACTGTCGCCTCGCATGGGATGATGATGATGGTAGATTTTAGTGGCGCAAGGGCAATTCAGGCCAAAGAGCGCCAAACACAGGGTTTTTCGTTGGTTCAATTATAGAAAAAATCTCGGGGTGGCAAGAGTAAAAGAGTGGGACATAGAGATTAAACTTAAGTGTAATGACTATGCGTGATGAGTTAAAAACGGTCTAAACCTATGGGTTTTAAAAATTCACGCAGTGGCGGCAGTGGTCCTTGTCAGGACAAGGAGTGCGTGCTGCACGACATTTGGTAAAGAAGTCTCAGCGGTTCTCTCAGGATTGAGAGAGGGCTGAGATTAGTGAGAATATGTAATTAAGTGCAGGTATCCAACAAGAACTTTAAAACTACTTTTATGGGAAACATGGGATCGTCCCCAAGAAAAAATAAAGGGTGAGGCGGTATGTGGCATTTGTATAGCTTTGGGAAGTGATGCAGTCTTTGTGGTTCAAGGTACGGGCACATAATTAAAACGTGAACGACAGATAGCACATCACCACATTTTTCACAACACGGTGCAGGAGAGTTGCTTAAAAGGTGCGTGTGTGTTGCATGTGTATGACCGATCCTGAGTGTGCACAGTGCAACCTCTTGATGCCTGTTACGTTTTTCTTCAGGAGCATATCTACCTATTCTTGGCTTTACTGTGTGCAATTTGTTGTCAATTGCTGCGTTCCATTCCTTTTGCCATTGCTAACGCATTCGGTTTCTGGCTAGCGGCCTCAAGTCCTCATATGGGATGACGACTACGTCTACTGTTGGGCGGAGTGCAGCGGACTTCGCAAGTCGGTCCGCTGCCTCATTGCCAGCTATGTTGCAGTGTCCCGGAATCCAGCATAGCATCATTTTAAGCTTGGATCTGTAGGCTGACATGAGGCAGTTTAGAAGGGTATTAGTCACTGGATTTTTATATGCCTTTGCGGAAGACAACGCAATCACTGCACTGAGGGAATCTGTGTATATGATGGAGGCTGGTTCTTTCTTCTTTAAGATGTGCCTTATAGCTAGCAGTATGCCACAGCACTCAGCAGTAAATATGCTGGTATGTTCATTCATTGTTGCAGATTCAGAGTACGCTGGGCCGTATGCAGCACATGCGACGGCCGAGGACTTGGAATCATCAGTGTAGTACTCAGCACACCTGTATTTTGCCTGCAAGTACATAAAATGCTGATCGATAGTGACTGGGAGGCCATGCTTTCCTACCTCTAGGAATGACAAGTCACAATTGATAGCTTGCATTTCCCATGGTGCCACAGTGTCCTTGTGGGAACTTAGTTGAAGATTGGAGACGGGATTAAGATTTTCTCTGGGAATCCAGTTAGTTACCCTTAATGACCAGCGGTTATCCTGTCTACGCGCTACATGCCCGGCCCATGTCCATTTCCTCTTCTTTAATTCAACTATGATATCCTTAACCCGCGTTTGTCCCCTAATCCACTCTGCTCTCTTCTTGTCTCTTGAGGTTACGCCTACCATTTTTCTTTCCATTGCTCGCTGCTAACTAACTGGATTCCCAGAGAAGGGAAGCGGGTTAGGGGGAGACAGAAGGTTAGGTGGCCAGATGAGATTAAGAAGTTTGCGGGTATAAATTGGCAGCAGCAAGCACAGGACCGGGTTAACTGGCGGAACATGGGAGAGGCCTTTGTCCTGCAGTGGATGTAGTCAGGCTGATGATGATGATGATGATGATATTAAGATTTTCAAAGTGTGAGGCCACTCGGATGGGATACGTTGGCGTAGCTGATGGTCACCTCAAGAACAGGTGGGCGTTTGATGTGTCCTGCAATAGTTCGCGAGATGGGTGGTCGACATGAGAGAGCACCTTGGTTGCATACTTGATGCTTGTGAACTGCCGTCATCGTTCTAATGACCACCGATCTGTCTCAACATACAGGCTGGCTATTGGGCTGGTTCGGAAAGCGCCACTAGCCAGACGAAGCCCATGGTGATGCACTGGGTCGAGCATCTTAAGTGTGGATCTCGATGCTTTCGTACACAACCGAGCCATAATCAATACGTGAGAGCACTACAGTACTGAGAAGGTTTAATAGACAGTCACGATCTGTACCCCATGACTGATGCGAGAGAATCTTGAGCAAGTTCAAGGCTTTCAAGCATTTCAGTCGCAGTTGCTTGATGTGTGGGACAAAGCTGAGCTTTTCATCCATCACAACACCTAGAAATTTATGATCCTTCTTAGTAGCAATGGTGTGTCCATTCATTGAAATGTTGGGGGACGGCCTTATGCCACGTAGTTTTGAAAAGAGTAGGCAGACAGTCTTGTCACAGTTAAACTTAAAACCATTTTTGTCTGCCCAGCTTGAGAGCTTATTTACTGCCAACTGAATCTGACGTTCGCAGATGGCTAGGTTGCACGATTTGAAGCCGATCTGAATGTCATCCACATGTACAGAGTAGGAAATTGTTTTAGGCAGTATAGTGTTTATGGAGTTCATTTTTACAATGAATAGTGTGCAGC